AGGGAAAGGGACCGTGGGTGGCTGTGGGCAGCATCACCTGGAGCAATGAAGGTGCAGAGCTTTCCAGGGGGGCTGAAGGGCTGCGAAGGAGGTTATTGCAGGAGACACAGCTGGAACGCTTGACTGCTGCTTGGAAGGACTTTGTCCCTCCTGGCTTTGATGGTCCAGCTGAACTTGGAAGTACTCTTCAACGTCTGGCACTGCCAGAAGAGAGTCTGCCTTGCGTCCGTGTGTGCCTGGCTCACCCATTCAAGCCCAGTTTGGGTCTCCAGTGGACTCCTTTGGGGCTGTGTGGGGACAGCAGGTGGTCTAGAGCAATGCCCTGTAGACATAGCAGAGCTGCCAACCCGTGGGGACACGGGAGGGGTTCTTCCTTGGAGGGGAGGAGCCAGATCCACCATAGGGCAACAAGCCCAGTGGGAGCAGGTGCCTTTGGAAAGCGAGCAGGGCGCCGTGCAGGAGACAGGTTTGCCTGGAGCGCATCTGCAGATGTGCTCCCTCTTATGGCTTGGTGAAGCTTTCTGGTGATGCATGTGCTTCCTTGGCCTTCGAGTTAAACCCGCTCACCCCGTGTCTGTGTTTCAGGCCCTCCTTGATTCTGCTCAGCTGTGGGATCCCCTACGACGTGGCACAGAATGCCTTGCGGCTGAGCGTGGGGCGAGACACCACCCGGGCAGACGTGGACCTGGTTGTGCAGGACCTTGTGCAGGCTGTGGCGCAGCTGGACCAGGACCAAACCCTGTAGACCCCGGGAATCGCTCCCCAGCCATCACCCAGGTTCTCGGGATGGGATTGTGCCCTGCTTGGCCCCTGGGTGCTGGCTGCCTGGGTCAGTTTGGGCTCAGGTTTTGGCAGGATTAGCTTTGCACCTGATCCCTAAGTGGAACTGACCCAGCTTGCACTTTGTGATCGTGGATCAGACATTGGGGGAAGTGGCAGCTGGTGGTGGCAGGAGGAGGAAGTGGGATCACCCGTTTCGGCAGCAGTGTGCTCTTAGGTCTGCTTAGCTGCGTTATCAGCTTGCGTACACAGGGATCACGGCGGGGCTGGCACAGCTCTGCAGCATGTGCGACTCGAGCAGAGAAGCTAGCGCAGGCGCTGGAGGCAGCAGGGAGCTGTGCTGAGGAGGGGGCTTTGCTGCTTTGGGGCTGGGGCAGCTCGTCAAGAACTTGCTCAGGACTCCGTCGTCCCCACTGCACGGTGCAGCCATTCGGGGAGTCTCGCTGTCGGGTGCTCCTCGCTTGCCAGCATGTACCCAGCTGGCTGCGTGCATGTTGGCATGACGGCATCTCAAAGCTCGATTCTCTCCAGAGCGTAACAGGCTTGGAAGCCATAGGAGATGGAGCCTTTTGCCCTGGTTGCTTTCCATAAAGGAAGCTTTCCCGCTGTCTTATCCCTCAGAGCAGGAAAGACCATCTGCCCCAGAGGGAAACGAGGAGTTGCTAGAAGCACAGCAAGATTCTGGGCTGGGAACTGCCCTGCCCCTGCCAGGCCCTAAGCTGCCAAAGGGTTTTTTGGCTGGGAAGGTGTCGGGCATGGTTTTCCCAGCACTGCATTGCGGTACCTGCTCCCCTTCCTCCCGTCCTTCCTACAGCGGGCAGAGCTCCTGTTGCTGGCTCCACGTGCTCCTAAAGGAAACAGAGTTGTTGGGGCAGCCGTAACTGTGCCAGCACCCGAGGAAACGTGTCTTCCCTACGCGGCCCAGGCGGTTGCTCTCATCACTGACACAGGAGAACACAAGCGTCACACAGATTAGGAATGTTGCCGGCTGGGCTGACTGATGTTGGGGAACCTGTCTCCCTGGGTATTCACAGAAATAAAAGTGACTGCTGCTCCTGTGGCTTTTTCCCAAGTAAAATGTGTTTTCCATGGTGTTTTCTGTGGGGGAGGCTGGACTGGTTGGGGTCATCTGAGTGATGTCTCTTCCCTCAGAAAATGCTTGTATCCCAGAACAGGCACAGTCCACCGGAGCAGGGAGGTGCCTGCTGGTCCCGGTTCGCCTGGAGCCCATAGACACAGATTCTTAGACGCTGGTCTTTCTCTTTACTAGCTATACATTAGCACGGCCAGGAAGACTATTTGGAACCATAAAACCCTGGGGCTTTTTGTAAATCTAATTTTGAACTGAAGTGTTAGGACCCAAGCACACTGACTTAGTCACTGGATGCCCAACAGGCTGTTCAGTGTTACCGCCGCTGCTCACACCTCAATCTCAAATGCAATCTTTTCTTTTTCCTTTTTTTTTTTCTCCCTTGCGTAATAGTCGAAACCTCTTTTAGAAGAAGTGGTTCCATAGAAAGAATATTGCTCTGCTTCAGGGATAGATCTTTTATCTATCATGGACCTTACAGTTCTTGGGGATCTTTCTTTCACAGCTGTGGCACAACTGGAGGTCCAGTTTTTGGGGCTCTCTTTCCCCTACAGGAGGTCTGGCCTGCATCGATTCAGACAGAAATTTAACCACAAAGGACAAAAAGCTTTACTGACTTTTTCTTTATACACACAGGAAATGCAAGTTTTAACCACAGAAATATTAGCATTACTTCATTTAGAATATTACAGCCAAAGCATAGGAAGTGTTACAGAGGATATGAATATTCTGGTTGACCATTTTAATGGTTTTACTGTTCATCTTCCTACTACCACACTGCACAGGAATGAGAGTCACTAGTGAATCCCTCTGTCTCCGTATTGCCTTATCCAGGGAAGGTGAGGAAGAACATGCCGGTGACTTGGCCTGCACTTCTGTGGGCCAGCCTGTGCTTCCGCTCACGCACCCTACGTGCTGGAGACAAATAGCCTGTTCTCGTATGACAAAATGTCAGCGGTTGTACGCACTAGAACAAATTCACCTGTCATGGAAGTCTGGAAATACCAACATTGCTACATCGGCTGTGAATTTAAACAGCAGAGAGAGGACCTGACCACTAGGCTAGAACACCACAGAGTTGAAATACGTTACTTTCACGTGGTCACATAGCCAGAATCGGATGGCAAAACCGCAATTCATTTAATGGAAGAATCCACAATCTCCTGATAATCTTGTCTTCCTAAATTATTCCAGGACAGTTTATAACACGCAAGGAAAAAAACACTAACCAAAATAACTGCTCCCCCGACAAGGTCATAAGCACCTGGGAAGATCCGCAACACGACAAGCTGCAGGACCATGGCGATGACTATCTCCAGGTGCTGTACGGTGCTGACCAAAGCAGGGTGGAACTTGCTTAGGGCATAGTAGACCCCCAGGAAGGCTGCTGTGGAGCACAGGCAGATGGCAAGGAGATAGCTCCAGGTTTCTCCATCCAGTGGGACGATCGGCTCTTGAAGTAAGAACATGGTGGACGCTCCCCACACCATTCCCGTCCAACTAAAGGTGAACAGTGCCGTCCACATGCTGATGTTATCTTTGATTGACCTATACACGATCATGGAGAGAGCAGTGGTCAAACCTGCCATAACAGTCATGGTATAGCCAAAAGCTTCCTTCCAGGTGCTCAGCAAAGAGTTCTCCTCCTTAATGATGTTGGGGATCATGACCAGACAAACGCCAAACACGCTGCCAACCACAGTAATTATGTCTATGTAAGCCATTCCTTCATCTATGAGTAAAAAAGCCAAAATGGCACTGAACACTGTCGTGGTAGCCCTCCACATAATGGTCCCGTTGCTGGGGGGAACTATAGAGAAGGAGGTGTAAGCACAGGTAATAGAGATAACATTGCAGACCCCATAGAAGAAGAGCCGGAGTCTGTACCCTTTGGGGCCAAAGGGAGGCTCATGGTAATAACACACAACAGTAATGGACAGCACCTGTAAGACTGAACGGATGAAAATTAACTCTAGGGATGGCACTTTGGAACGATCAGAAATTAATCTTGTAATTAGAGCCACACATCCGTGAGCCACGGCAGATCCAAAAAGGACTACCCACGTTTTCCTCGACTGCAGTATATTTCCTTCAGGAAAATGCTGGGATTGTCCGATCTCATCGGGTTTTGGCAGTTGTGCTGGCTGAAGCTTGGTGTCTATTGTACCAAAGAAGGTTCTTTCTCTCTTTTTCCCATCATTCAGTAGTCTTTTCTTAGGATTATCCTCCATAAATACTCCAGTATCTTCATTAACATCCTCATATCCCTCTTCTCCTGGCTGGGGATAATGAGAAGTATATTTCACTGTTACTGTGTTGGGATGAATTTTCACTCGCTTTTTGACTGGGTATTTTTGGGAAGACGTATCCATTTCCTCAGAGAAATGTCCTGCTCTTAAGAAAAGAATGGAGAAGCACTGTTATTTTTATTTAAAGAATAGCGAGAGATTCATTAGTATGGAAATGCTGCTAGTGTTTACAAGCTATTTTTATCAAGCGAGTGCAAGTACCAGTAGATTGTTCTTGGTTTTGCTTTAATTTTCCGGTGAGTTACTGCTAAATACCTTTGATAGTCAGGCCATTTGGATCTCCTTGAAAGCCAACCGTGGAACTTCATTTTAGTCACTAGTTTTTGAAAATTATATATATTCTCATTATGCATAGTACGTATAATGCATTCTAGTATATTCTTATTCTAATGAGGAAGTTCTCTTGCTAAGCTTTTTGGACAGTAAATACCCTGTAATTATGAATTATACTTATTGTTAATTGCTCGCTAATGTCACAAGATTATGGAAGAAATTTGGCTGGAGGAGATGATCGCCTTGCTTCTAAACTGACAGAGAGCAACGCAGGGAAATAGGGAGTATCCCTGAGCAATTCAGCAAGTTAGCATATGAATAAACACATTTTAGAACAATACTTTGACAGTGTTAAAAATTCTTTCTTCTTTTCACATCCTTTTATTTCCAGTGATTGATTTTGCAACAGATTTGTTCTTCAAATACGATTTTTTTTTTTTTTTTATGGAGAAAATTTAGAGGGGCTGATCCAAACTACTAGCCAGACCTTCCCGTGGCAGACATTTAAAAACCACAGCAACAAAACCACCACCCTTCTGTCTCCTACTGAACGTCCATTTCACACTACCCAAGCGGCGCGAGCTCTCCCCTCAGAGCCCCCGATTTGTGCACACCACCGTGACACACGCAGCAACACGTGTGGCGCTGCCTGTGTCACAACGGCGGCATCAGCCTCCCAAAACAAGCAAGCAAGCCCTTCACCAGCACAAACTCCGCTGTCACAGGTGCGTGCAGCCTGCTCACAGGGAGCCCACCTGTGCCCTTAATTCCCTCCAGCTCTCCGCTGAGCGTTCCATCGCTGTCCCCAAGGCCAGTGTGACAGCACCGGGGCAGTTTAATACAGGCACGGGGATGTCAATGAGATTACTTTGTTTCCGCAGCGCCCTCCACCATCTGCGCAAAGAGCCCTTTCAAATGAAGTGGCAGCAGGAGAAATGCAACCTTTCCTGCCTTCTATTTGCCCCAGCAAATAAACCCACGCAGACCTTACCTGCAACTGAGAGATTTAATCCCACGCCAGAAAAGGAAAACACCTCTTCGTCATTTACATCTTTGTCAGGGTGTCTAAACAGAAACAGTAGATGCTCTCAGGTATCAAATAGGAAAGGTTACAATCATCTCAGCACAGAAAGGAATACCCAAGGGAGGCATGAAAAATTCTGCTTGTTTTTGAAAGCTGAAAATTTGAAAAGCACTAGCATGCTTTTGAGGCCATGCTCCTTGGGAACTGGCAACCCTGGTGCATCATTATGAAAAAATCACCACCACAAAACCCAAAAAACTTAGATGGAGAGAAGGCAATCAGTGTCAACTTGCCAAAACCACTCCTCAGC